TTAAAGAAAAAAATTGTTGTCCCCAGATTAAACTTAATTATCTTTGTAAACTTTTCCACATGACTTTGAATTATGTACAATTTCCTGAAACAAAGAAAAAGGATAATTCAATTGGAATTTCAAATTCCAAAAATCAATCAAGACAAGTGAAACAAATTGTGGATTCTTAAGTAATTTGAGAATAAACTGATATTAATATGATTGTTTAATTGAATGAAACCATATCTACTTAGTACATTAAAATTATTAACTATATGTGAAGGAGGGAACAATCATTGGGCACATAATGGATAATTCTTCTTTGCAATCTTGACTCTCTTATTTGTAACTATAATGCTATGAGAGAAACAAAAGAAATAGTGATAAGGATTTACCCATCACCTTATTGACAACGTAAGACATTCGACTATGTGGATGATAAAAACATCTAGATAACATTGAGAAGTATGGGAATTCCAGAACACTTAATTTGCTTATATGAAATGCTTACCGAGATCGAGAGGTTGTTGTACAAACAGAACCAGGGAATGCTGCTTAGTTGAAAATCCAGAAATGTGTGTGTCAGGTTTTTAATCTCTAAGCAGACTTAAAGGTAGAAGCCAGTGAACTCGAAGGCCCTGGACGGGAGGAACTGACACAGTGGCTGCAGCAATGAGCTCCAGCAGCATTTCCGAGAGGGCGAGCACCAGCTGGTGTTTCATTCTGTTGACACAGGACGGCTAGGAGTTGAAACTGACAGGAAGCCACCTAACCTCAACTCAGTCGGTAGGCTGAGCAAATCACCTACGAAGTTGGACTCCATGAAGAAGACCGCAGCATTCAGATCTGAGGAAGGCTCACTGACAACTCAGTATGCAGATGGCACAACCCTGCTTACTGAAAGCAGGGAGCATTTGAAGAGCTTGCTAATGAAAATCAAAGACAGCAATCTTTAGCATGGCTTGCAATTCAATGTAAAGACTAAAATTCATACAATTAAAACAATAGAAAACAGGATGGTAAATGAAAAGAAGATTAAAATTATCAAGGGTATCATTTTACTTGGATCCATAAGCCATGGTCACGAAGTAGCAGCCCAGATAGCAAATGGAAAAAGCCCTAGTGTGAGAAGAAGCAGATGGCTGCTTTCTCAAACGTCTGAGATTGGAGGTCACTGGACTTTTGTTCTGATCTCTGGCTTTGAGGGTGCTCAATGAATAGTGACCTGGACTACCATATACTTAACTGTTTTAATGTCCTCTTTGATTTCTTATTGCCAATATTAATCTGGTAGACATAGTTCTTCCTTTGTGAGTGAGAGTTCTTGAGAGTGTTGCCCTACCACCAACCCCCATTGTTAGTACAGTGTCCAGTCACTTACGAGTTTAATTTATACAAGTTGACAATCCACGTATTGTGGTCGGACACCAACTTATACTTGTCTAATTTCCCTTTCTCAACAGCATTTTAAATTCTATCCCATTGGCTAATTAAGGACACTATCAATAGAAGTACTGTATGCTCCAGGGAGGTGATTTATAATTTAAATGATTATTTTATTATAAAATGATAATGATGTCTCTATAATGAGTCAGAGACATATAGAAAACCAAGTATATGAATGGATTTGGGGGTCATGTTTAATTCTACCCCTAATAGAAAAACAATTAGTTCTAATGGCATGGATTTGCTCAATGCTCACCCTCATAAAGAGATCACTGAAAGTGTGGTTAAGAAACATGATGGTGCCTGGCTATTAGAAAGAATAGCATCCGGGGACTTAAAGGCTTGTCTTCAAACAAGCAACCACCTAACTGAGGTGTCAACTAAGCCCACATGGAAGAAGCACACAAGCAAGTGTGATCCAGGAATCCTAAGTAATAAAGTCCATATTTAAAGGTGGGGATGGTATCAGAGCTTAAATTGTTAACATTCAAGCTACAGAAGGCTATAGATGACGGTAGAAGGCCAAAATCCATTTGCAGGGTCCCCACGTGGATTAAGTCACCAGTGAATCCCGGCTGACTCTAATCAAGGGATGTGAATAGCGTTGCTATCAGACAGAGAGCATTGCAAAGTCCATTGACAGACATAGTGAGGTTAAAATGTATCAGTGGATCTCCCTTTTGATTCATTGTAAAAGTTGCTTCAATTGTATATTTACTTTCGTCTTGATTCAGGGTTTTCCGTGTTTTGTCAGTCGTGGGTTTATTTTTTATGTTTTGTATGATTTTCTGTATATGAAGTCAGGATAGGTAGATATGTAGAGACAGCTGATCATTGCCCCGGGGCATGGCAGGGGACAACGTAGGGAAATGGGGCACTAACTACAAGTAGGAGAAAAAAAATGTTCTGAAATTTATTGTGGTGGTGATTGTATAAATATTCTTAATATGGTCAAGCAATTAAATTTTATGATATGTGAAGGATATGCCAATAAAAATAGTTTTTAAAAAACAAAAAGTCAAATATTATGTTGTGAAAATCTGGTACATATAACTTCTTAAAGTGCTGAAGAGCCCTTGCTTGATGTGCTGTAAGACTAAGGTGCAGACCCACGTGGTGTTTTCAATAGCTTCCTGTGTATGTGAAGGCTGAGCAAGAAATAAGAATCAAGTCCTTGCTTCATCTCGCTCTGAAGATTAAGATGCTCCTGACCCAAGTGATAGTATTTTCAATAGGTTCATATGCACGTAAAAGCTGGGAAATGAATAAGGAAATCCAAACGACTGATGCCTTTGGATTACGGTGCTGGTAAAAAAATATTGAAAATAACACGGACTGCCAGCAGAACAAATGGAATCTGTCTTGAATGAAGTTCAGCCAGAATGTGCCTAAGCAGCAAGGAGGTGAGCGTTAGTCTTGTGCATTCTGAACATGCCAACAGGAGAGTCCAGTCCCAGGAAAAAGCTTGGGAAAGTATAGGATGAGCAGAAAGAGCAAGACCTTCAGCAAGATGATTGACACCGTGGCTTCAAGTACGACAGTGAAACAATGATTAGGAGGGTCCAGAAGCTGGTGGTGTTTCCTGCTGTTTTACATTGGGTGGTTGGGCTCCATGGTACCTAAAGGAAACAGCAGTGCATTGGGTATTGTTTCTGTTTCTTTAATCAGGACATGGATAAGATTAAAAGTGAATCCTTCTTTAATTAGGACACAGATAAGATTAATATCAAAAGATATAGCATCTGGGGGTCTTAAAAGCTTGAAGGTAAACAAGTGCCCATCTAGCTCAGAAGCAACAAAGCTCACATGGAAGAACATATCAGCCTGTGTGATCACGAGGTGTCGAAGGGATCACTGAAGACTAATGGGTGCATAAGCAAATGTGGCAAAGAAAGCTGATGGTGCCCGGCTATCAAAAAGTATAGCGTCTGGGGTCTTAAAGGATTGAAGGTAATCAAGCGGCCATCGAGCTCAGAAGCAACAAAGCCCAGATGGAAGAAGCATGCCAGCCTATGCAACCACAAGGTGTCGAAGGGATCAGGTACAAGGCATCATCAGAACAAAAAATCTTACCATAGTGAATGATGGGGGGAGTGCGGAGTGGAGACCCAAAGCCCATTAGCAGGCCACTGGAGACCCCCTTGCAGAGGGGTCTCGGGAGGAGATGAGCCAGTCAGTGGGCGATGTAGCAAAGATGAAAAATACAACTTTTCTCTAGTTCCTAAATGTTTCCTCCCCGCTCCCACTATCATGATATGAATTCTAACTTGCAAGTCTGGCTAGACCAGAGGATGTACACTGGTACAGATAGGAACTGGAAATACAGGGAATCCAGGGCGGATGATCCCTACAGGACCAGTGGTGTGAGTGGTGATACTAGGATGGTAGAGGGAAAGTGGGTAGGAAAGAGGGAGCCGATTACAAGGAACTAAATGTGACCTCCTCCCTGGGGGACAGACAACAGAAAAGTGGGTGAAGGGAGATGTTGGACAGGGCAAGATATGACAAAATAACAATTTATAAACTATCAAGGGCTCATGAGGGAGGGGGGAGTGGGGAGGGAGGGGGAAAATGAGGACCTAATGCCGGGGGCTTAAGTGGAGAGCAAATGTTTTGAGAATGATGAGGGCAATGAATGTACAAATGCGCTTTACACAATTGATGTGTGTATGGATTGTGATAAGAGTTGTATGAGCCCCTAATGAAACGATTTAAAAAAAGAAAAAGAAAGATTAATGCCCACAGATCCAAGTGGCCGTCTGCGGCTGCAGACTTCATCTTCCAGCATGTCTGGTCCTTCCTTAAAATGAGCGATCCATTTGTTAACTGCTGATTTATTTTATTTTATTTATTTGTTCAAACTTTTCAAAAGCATTAAGAATTCCACTAATCTTTCATGCAAACTTCACTAAAAATGATGCTTGTTCTTCTGTTTTAGCAGAATTCATGTTTCTTTCAAAGGGCTTCTTTTCAATCTGATGTCTTATCCTTCTCGGTGCCTCAAACTAGGTACTGTTTAGACATGTTATAACAAGTTAGTAGTAGTTGATGTCGGTGCTGATATATTTTTAAAATCAATTCATTTTTTTTCATAATACACATTTTTAAACATACACATAGTTTTCATAATATATATTTTTTCATAATATCCCATGAAACTTTTGAAGTCTCTCATCTTATCTGTTCAAAATTTACCACCAGCCCTGCCCTTGGTGCTGTTGAACTCACCAAATTATTTATAATCTTCTGAATGTGTGCTTGGTTACACTTGGTGGGAAATAGGCTTATGAAATATGAGAATAAAGAGAAAATGAGAGGTGGAGATAAAACAGTACAATTATGGATACAAGACCTGCAGAACCAGGATTACCTTGGTAACAGGAACTTTACCTTAAATAGGTATTCCTTAAATCACCAGTGCTGGGGAAGGAATCAGGCAACGCAGTGACCAGGGAAACTTAAAAGCTATAATCATCTTTGCTTTCGGTCAAGTAGTTAACAAATAAAAATGTATTTTCACGTGTAAAGAAGGGCTTCACTTTTCCTTGACAAGCAACCTCTAGGGAATGGCTTACCTCGGCAAGATAGAATTCATCATATTGCCTTCTGAAGTTCTCTCCCTTGTAATAGTTGCTAGCAGCGACAATCACGTCCACAGTCACCATGCTCAGGATAAACATGTGGAAAACGGATGACCGCATCATTTTCTGAGGAGGAAAAAGAGATAAATTCCAAACAAAAATAAAGAAACCTGACGATTAAACATAATCAATGTGCCAAGGCCCTTATATACCACACTTCTCTGACGTGCTGGCGTGCAAAATGTGGCTTTATGTTAACTGGATGAATGTGGCTTGCTACTGAATACTGTAAGCAAAGGCATTCCTTTCTCAGGCAGCTGAAAAAGGAATGGGAAGATGGTTTCAGAGTCTTTTGGTTAAATAGGGAATATATAATTCATTTGACTTGGGTATAGATTCTGTCTTATTTTTCATTGTTTTCTTAGACATCTTTTCCCCTGAATTCTCACTGTACAAATATATTATTTTAAAAGAACAGATACTTCTTTCTTCAGTGTTAAGAGGGGAAAGTATTATGGATGAAACATTTTAGAGATGATCTTAAATCTAGAAAAGTGGAAGAGACCCAAGATCTATTATTTTGTTACTTTCTTCCTCTCACAAATATTGATTGAACTTTATATTACAACTAATAAGCATCCCCAACAGTGCACGGACACTTCAGTGATTCTCACCCAGCACTCACTCTGTGGGAGAAGGGTATTGGAGTCTGCTTCCATAAAGAGTATATAGCCTTGGACTCTCTCTCGGGTAGTTGCACTCCATTCTATAGGGTTGCTGTAACTTGGCATTATATCACTCTTACTATGTTCTGTTCTAGATTCTTTACATAAATGAATTCATTTAATATATCCATGCATAACTTATTGACATGGTTAGGTTCCAAAGATGTGAAAATAGGCATTATTTGAAAATGTAGGGTGCCCATAAAATGTAAGATGGCTACATTATGACATTAACAGCTAAAAGACATCCTTCCATCACTGCCCCGGCTAACCTGCATCTCTGATGAAGGTGGTTAAAGAGTGAAATAGTAAAATGGATAGTAAATAGTAAACTGGATAGTAAACTATGGCCTATTGTAAGAAATGTGAAACGTCAGATAATGAGATAGTCAATACCTTCATAATAACCCAAGGAAGATCTTCTAAAATTATAAATGAGAGAATTGAGACTTTTAGAAGTTAAGTAAGTTCCCATGGTCACACCATGATTGAAGTCTGGCCTGATCCAAGTCTGATTCAAGTCCACTGGCCACAGTCAGGTAGAGATAATGAAACTTTCTGAAATGATGACTAGCATTCCAATGACTACCGTGTATTGCCACCACCCATCTGTCACTTAACTGCATTGTGATGAGTTGTGTAACCCTCTGATGCTATGCCAATACCACCAGGGTCACTCATGGTACCATTTTCAGCGAAAACTAAGCCAGACTGGCATGAAAAGCCTAGTAATACACTTTCAAAAATTAATCATCCAAGTGATATGACTTACAGCAGAATACTTTATAACCTAGAGATAGGAGATCAGCCCTCTAAAGTTGGAAGTCAACACAAAATGCACAGTAGCCAAAACAAGGAATTTGAGCATACCAACAAGGATGATGCTTGGGCAGGACAGGGTAGTGCACCATTCTGCTTTGCCTGGGGTCACCATGACTGGGAGGTAACTCAGCTGTAACTACAATAATCACGTTCCGCCATTGCTCAACCTTCCTCAGTCCTTATGCACGAGTATCCTGACAATTTTATATGGCTTGAAAATTCTTCAGTCTTTGCAGCTAAAAGAACCAAACTAGAGTAGAGCCTGAGCACAGAACAAGAGGGAAAGGATGGCTTCCTAGGAGACACGTCACCGACTATATGCATAGACAGTTGCTGTTTCAGGAAGACCCACGGTGGCTTAGTGGGTGACACATTGGGCTCACTGATAGGGATTCAAACCCAATAAGAAAGAGTTCCACAGGAGATGTAGCGTATCAGAACCCCAAAGAGGCAGATCCACTTTGTCCTGGAGGTTGCTCTGAGCCAGAATGGATTCATTGGTAGTGGGTAGAGTGGGATATAGTTTCTGGTAAAGGAAGATGAAGCCTTTGCTCCTGTAAAGATTGACAGTCTCAAGAACCCCATATTGGTTCACTATGAGTCACAGTACACTCAACAGCAGGGGGTCTGCATTTGGATATACTGTTTTTGAAGGCTTTGTGACTATGCAGCTGTGATTAACAGGACATTTTCTGGGCCCAAGAGCTGCAGTTGAAAGTCTACTACGCTGGGCAAGCTATTTTACTTCTTTATGCCTCAGTTCCCTCGTCAATAAAAGAAAAGAAGGCAGTACCTAATTCAAAAGGTTGTTATCTATTTTAAATGAGCTGATATTGAAAAGCACTAAGAAAAACGAATGCCACGTTAGACATTTCTGTGAGTTTGGAATGAAAATAATGCAACTCTTTGATTCAGGTACTTTTCAGGAATGAGGAGCTAATTGTGCAAGGTCAAAGAATCTCTTATGTCTCTTATCTGCTTGAGTCCAGAACCAAGTGAGATAAATAAAAGCGATAAGATTCTAATAATTTGAAGGATCAGAACGATCAGAAAAGGAGATCTTTATTGTGGCTTCACATCATCGTATCTCTTCACATATCCTTATATCTATACTCCATGAATGTGTTTTTATGTTTCAGACGAAATCAAATTCCAGAGCTGCCAATCAACATGAATCCTCTCGCAGGAACTACTGACCTTCACAACACGCATAAGCAAATCACTCCGCCAGGTTTTTTACTGCGATCTCACGGTTCTTGCCTCGCGAGAATTAAATTCCTTTACTAGTACGCCTCTTTTCTACTCGCTTCAACATAATGCTCTATTAAAAATATTTCCACTGATTTCCATTTTATCTGCATGACAGAAAAGCCACAACTTTCTTTTTATATTTTCCTTAACTGTGAATTTATGTCTTAAGTAAACCATTATTACTGAAAGGTCCAAACAAAGCTTGCAGCCATGCCTGTCAGAGAACTTTTAAATTGGTTTGTAACTGTCACAGCTTCACTTTGGTGCTGTCATTATAATTGGGTTGTTTTTTGTCTGAATGTCGCCATATCCTTGTTGGCACGGAGTCATTAAAATAAGCACTTACAGTAGGTTCTGATACACTATAATCATCATTGCTTAGCCAGCTCTCTCCAAAGTAAGAACTTCCATATGTTAAATAAGAGTTAAGGTGATATATAAGTATGTGCTAAATTTAAATATTAAAGTCAGTAACCCAGTTTTAAAGATAGTTACAGAGACCACTTCAACTTGATTCAACTCAACCAAATGCTGAAAGTTGGCTATCAATATCTCTCATGTTGAACAACTGGTAAAATTGTATGTAGACTAAGTTTATAACTGTAAACTAGCCTGAATTTTCACTTTTCAATGTTCTATTTTCTTATAAAAATGAATGCATAGGAAAATATTAAGGTTGAATCAGTGCCACAAAATATTATATAACTCGAAGCATGCCCAAGTGAATAATTAAATATGAATGTAGAATATATGTGTTATATGTTGAGTATAAGCCTCTTAGTTCCTATATACACATATTACAATTTTATAAAGATTCTTTGAATTATGATACTATTTTGGTTTGTGATTTTTTAAAATCAGACCATCTTAAATACGTTTTCAGTTTCTCTGTGAACCAAGAACTACTGATTTATATATATAAATGATACTAGGAATTACCAAATTTAAACACGCACACACACACACAAACACACACACATACACACAATAAGACCCTTCCCATGGCAACAACATCTCTCACGAATGCACTAGAGCTTTTTGACTCAAGGTGTGAGTCCTGATCAACAGTCTGGGCCTGAGGAAGGTAGGATCTCAGACTCTACCCCCAAATTATTGAATCAGTGTCTGCATTGACCAAGCTCCCCAAATAATTCATGAGTGCATTAGTGTTTGAGAGCCACTCGCAGAGGACAGTCCGTCAGTAGTAACCTAGTAACTGTTTTACAGTTTCATATATCCATGATTCTAGAACTCTGTAGTCATTGAAATATTACAAATATCACATAGTGAGTGTGTAAACCCAGTCATCACACAGAAGATACTCAGATAAGCCTAGTGGTATCCCTCTAAATGAAGATAACATTCTTTCCCCCTTTTAAAATATTTTTTTGGTGAAATCTGTGAGAAGAAAATATTTTTCTTTTTAAAAAAATGTATTCTTCTTTTAAAAAAAAATATTATTCTTTTTAAAAAAATTATCACAATCCATCCATCCATCCATGGTGTCAAGCATATTTATACATTCGATGCCATCATCATTTTCAAAACATTTTCTTTCTACTTGAGCCCTTGGTATCAGCTTCTCAGTTTTACCCCTTGCTCCCCCACCCTCCCTCCCTCATTATCCCTTGATAATTTATAAAATATTATTATTTTTTCACGTCTTACACTGACAGATGTCTCCCTTTACCCACTTTTCTGTTGTCCATCCCCCCTGGGAGCAGGTTATAAGTAGATCATTGTGATCAGTTCTCCCTTTCTCCCCCCACTTTCCATTTTGCCTCCTGGTATGGCTATTCTCAATATTGGTCCTGAGGGCTTTCTCTGTCCTAGATTCCCTGTGTTTCCAGCTCTTATCTGTACCCATGAACATGCTCTGGTCTAGCTAGATTTGTAAGGTAGAATTGGGGTCATGATAGTGAAGGGGAGGAAACATTAAAGAACTAGAGGAAAGTTGTATATTTCATCAGTACTATGCTGCACCTTGACTGGCTCTTCTCCTCCCCACAACCCTCTATAAAGGGATGTCCAATTGGCTACAGCAGGGGTTTGGGTCTCCACTCCACACTCCCCCTCATTCACAATGATATGATTTTTTGTCCTGCCTGATACCTGATGCCATCAACACCTTGTGATCACACAGGCTGGTGAGCTTCTTCCATGTGGGTTTTGTTGCTTCTCAGCTAGATGGCTGCTTATTTATCTTCAAGCTTTTAAGACCTCAGATGCTATACCCTTTGATAGCCAGCCATCATCAGCTTTCTTCACCACATTTGCTTATGCACCCGCTTTGTCTTCAGTGATCATGTCGGGAAGGTGAGCATCATA